AGTTTGCTAAATCGTCTGCTCTGGCGGATGATTTTCTTACTTAATTTTGTATAATTGGTCGGTTCTGTTACAGAGCCCTATCACTTTTACTAAAATATGAATCTTGGCTTCTTATGCCAATTTGAGAATTCAATTCTCTATTCACATATTTAGGGGTAGGCTCTACACCCATGGCTTGAAACTCTCAGTATTTATTTCATATCTTTTATAAGCTCTAATTGGGTTGTCATCAATCACCAAAAAGGAGAAGATTGAAAGTGCAATCAAGCCTTAATTGTAGGTTTTGGTGATAATGACCACGCAATTAGAGAACTAATGAGATTTATCGAGATGACAAGCAGGAAATTTATATTCGAGGATGCTACACGAAACGGAGGAGCCCCCAATTATAAATGTAGATGGCTTCAAACTCAAAGGAGGTTTAAATTCTTTTATATATTGAATTTGAGTATAAGAAAAGCCGTATTATATAGGGGGGCACAATGCTTAAGCTAATATGTACTAGCAAGTGCTCAAACAACCACATGCATCCTCAGATTCAAAGCTAAGACAGTCTACACATCACTATTACCTCTTACTGTCTTGCGTGGTGTGGCACTGCCGCACTTGAAGAGAGGCTCGCCCGACCCCTTGGGTGCGAGCTCCGGTTCGCCCGACCCCTTGGTTGCGAGCTCCGGTTCGCCCGACCCCTTGGTCATAGGCTCCGGCTTGCCTGACCCCTTGGTCGCGGGCTTCGTCTCGCCCGACCTCGAGGCCGTGGGCTTCGTCTCGCCCGACCCTTTGGGTGCGATGTTCGTTGTGGGCTGGGGGTATATATACCTTTTTCTTTCCTCCCCAATGGCTATCTGTGATTTTAGTGGTCGTTGGGGGCTGAGGGGTATATATACCTTTCTCCTTCCTCCCCAACGGTAACAAGCTCTCTTCTTTCTCACTTCAGCACTCCCAAAACAGAGCAAGAGCTCCCTCTCTCTCACTCCATTGTTGACCTCAAGCCCTCAAGCAAATCCATTGATTTTCCATCAATCCTTGAGGAAAAAGGGTCCCAAACTCGATTAGAGAGCAGCTCCATTGATTCACAAACTCTAAAAAGCACTTGGTTCATGTTTTGGCAGACGATTGTGTTTGTTACTCTTGGAGCTTGGCTCCTAGCCGACTAGAGCGTCACCCGTGGAGCTTACCAACTTGTGTGGCAGCCCCGGGAGGTTTATAACCATATCTTGAAACTAGTAAACTCACCCCTCATCTCAAGAGTTAAGTCTCTTGACTTGAGAACGAGGAAAGGCTGTAAAGCTCTAAGCCTTAGTGGCTAACCTCAACAACGTGGAGGTAGGCAAGCCTTGGTGGCGAGCCGAACCACGGAATAAATCATTGTATCATTTGTGCTTGATTTACATTACTTGCATGACATATTGTTTATTGAGGTGATTTCTAGAGTTTGAGGTTGATCTACTTGTGTGTGGTGTTCCCACCATTTTCAGTTGTCGATCTGTGATCTACTACCCTGCAGGAAGCTAAAAATTTTACCCAATCCAAATTTCGTTGGGTAGATTTTGAACTGTGAACTAATTTCTCCTGCAGGTGCAGTAGTGTCGCCCTCACAGAGCGGTAGTGCCGCGGGTGAATTTGATTTCGGTTTGAGTTGAATTTTTATAGGCCTATTCACCCCCTCTAGGCGTTCCAGAGATCCTATACTTTCTTTGATCCAAACAAGTGTAACTAATAGTTTAGTTGATTGTTAGTTGAATACTCCACTAAAAATTCACTAGTTGAAACAAAATAGTAAAATAGCAGCTGATAATAGCTGTGACCAATTAGCTAACAAACTATTAGCAACTAATAGTAGATACAAACAGGCCTGAATACCTAGGATCATTGTGACCTAACAGTATTTGTTGCAATAGCCACAACCACGACTAGCGAACAGCCCCTAAAATATTAAACCCACGAAAAAGGTCCATTTTACCTTATGAAGTATCGGTGTGTTCTGATTAGCCCGCATGTGGCCCAGTCCACAAGATAAAATGGACCTTTTCCTAAACCCACAATTAGCCCGCATGTGACCCAGCCCAAGACTTCTCAGCCCAACCCACCACCTTCTTTCTTCTAATTAGGCCTTGTTTAGATGCAGGGTGTAAAGTTTTGAGGTGTCACATCAGATTTTATATGGAGTGTTGCATAGGGTGTTCGGATACTAATAAAAAAACAAATTACAGAATCCCAGTAAACCACGAGACAAATTTATTAAGCCTAATTAATCCGTCATTAGCTCACGTGTTACTGTAGCACTTTTGTCGACAAAAGACGCTCATCAGTCCTCCGAGGGGTATCCCACGAAGGTAGATTGATCGGTGGAGGTGCGTGTAATCAGGAATCGGATGGTGATACAAGGCGTAGAGACAACGATTTAGACAGGTTCGGACCGTCTGATTGACGTAATACTCTACGTCCTGTGTCTTTTGTGTATTGTATTAAGATGTAGTAGATGACCCCTGCCCCTCCTTATATGCTCTCGAGGGGTAGGGTTACCAGGAAAGTATCCTATTTGGTACTATATAATATCTTGCGGTGCACGTCTGAAAGCTCTAGTTTGGTTTTGATGAATTGATGAAACCCTAAGTGTTAACCTAGTTTATCAAGTGATCATGAGATAGGTAGCATATTCCAAGTAGTAAAGCAAATAAAGATCATAACATGATGATGTTGATGATCAAGTGCTTGGACTTGAAAAGAAGAAAGAGAAAAACAAAAGGCTCAAGGCAAAGGTATAAATGATAGGAGCCATTTTGTTTTGGTGATCGAGACACTTAGCGAGTGTGATCATATTTAGGATCGATAGCCGTACTATTAAGAGGGGTGAAACTCGTATCGGAATACGGTTATCAAAGTGCCACTAGATGCTCTAACTCATTGCATATGCATTTAGGATATAGTGGAGTGCTAACACCCTTGAAAATATTTGTGAAAATATGCTAACACATATACATAAAGGTGATACACTTAGTGATTGGCACATTTGAGCAAGGGTTAGAAACTTCACTGACGGAGTGTCTGCCCGTAGAGTGCGGACAGTCCAACGGTGCCACCGGCGTCCTAAACAGAAAAGATGGAGGTCACTGTAAGTGACCGGACGCTGGTCTCGGTAGGACCGACGCGTTCGGTCAGGTGGAGCATGAAGACGCTGGCGTCGGTCTCTGACCGAACGTTGGGCCACTTAGTGACCAGACGCTGGAGGGGTGCATCCGGTCCGGCTGATGTGGCAGCGCACAGAAGAGTCACCGTGTGACTGGACGCTGGGTGAGTCCGATCGAGCATGTCATGAAAAGTCATCTCTGGATGCTTACTGGAAACGACCGGACGCTGGGGTTCAGCATCCGATCACTTTAAGCTGCTGCGTCCGGTCATCACTTGACCGTTGAGATCAAACGATCGACATTTGAAGAGAGAGGACACGTGGCACGCATCGCGTGACTAGACGCTGAGGTCCAGCGTCCGGTCGATATGACCGGAGCGTCCGGTCACCCCGTGTTGTGCCGAGTGAAGGGGTACAACGGCTCTATTTCGTGGGGGCTTCTATTTAAGCCATATGGCCGGTTTAAGCTCACTCTCTTGGTCATTTGCATTGACACAGCAACCTTATGAGTTTAGCCAAAGCCCTCTCACTCATCTCCATCATTGATCAACATCTTTGTGAGATTGGGAGAGAATCCAAGTGCATTGCTTGAGTGTTTGCATCTAGAGGCACTTGGTGTTCGTGTTTCGCTGCGGGATTCGCTTGTTACTCTTGGTGGTTGCCGCCACCTAGACGGCTTGGAGCAGCGAGGATCGTCGAGCGGAGGTTGGTGATTATCTCCGGCTTCGATCATGGTGATTGTGAGGGATTCTTGACCTTTCTCTGGCGGAGAGTCAAAAGATACTCTAGTGGATTGCTAGTGGCTTGTGTGATCCTTATCTTGTGTTGGTTGTGTGGCGCCCTATTAAAGGTTTGACGTGTGATGCTAATTAGCACGTGAACCTCTAAGTGAGTGAATCGCCACAATGAGGAGTAACTTGCCGACAAACAAGTGAACATCGGTAAAAAATCATTGTGTTCATCGTTTGATTCCGAGGTGATTGGTCTTCATTGATATTGATTCTTGTAATTGATTGGTTCACTCCTCTACACGGCGGTATAACTATTTTGCTCACTCTCTTTATATTACCGCAAACTAGTTGTCAAGCTCTTTAGTGTAGCTAGTTGTGAGAGCTTGTTAGTTTGGTTAGTGTGGCTCTTTAGTTAGCTTTTGAGAGCGCACTAATTTAGTGTAGTGATATAGCTATTATGTGGATAGAAACTATATAAACTAGAATTGTGGTAGGTGGCTTGTATTTTTAGTAGGCTAGCGCAACACTTGCTTCGTCTCATAATTATCTAACCATTTTGTTAAGTGTTGTTGTAGAAATTTTTATTAGGCTATTCACCCCCCTTTAGCCATTATGACCTTTCAACGTCGACCAGTGCCGTACATGTCTTGATCTTGCGGGCTGGGCTACCTCTGATGGTGCGACCCATGTGATCTGCTATGGGTATCTGGGGTCGTACCCCCACAACTTTATTGTCAAATCATGAACTAATTAGGCTTAAAAGATTCGTCTGGCAAAGTAGTCGTAATCTGTGCAATTAGATATTTTTTTAATATATATTTAATACTGCGTATATGTCAAACAGATATGCCTAAAGTTTCGGTGGAGGATCTTAACGAGGCCTTGGTCCGGCTCAATTACGGGGCAAATCTCTGACAGGAAAATTATCAGTCCAATCATACCCCAGCACGAATTCTGGGAGCCGCCGCAATCCTCCTCCCCGTCTCCTACCTTCGTCGGTGCTCTCCCCCGCCGCCGGCCGCCATCCGCCCAGGTCGGCGCCCCAGCCCGCAGCCCATCGCGCGTTCCGCTCCCTCTCCAACCCCAACGAAACCCCAGGGGCACACTCAGCCCCCTCTCCTCCTTCACTGGGGCCAGACATGGTCAGTACAGCACGGCTACTCCGCCCCTCTCGATTTCTCTTGCGGCCGCTTGCGTGCTTGCTCCGGCTCCGAATTCGTGTGTCTCACCTCGTTGCTGTGCGCAGGAGAGCAAAAGGCAGTGGGGGAAGGCGCCCCAGGAGGCGAAGGGCGGAGGCGGCGGTCACCAAGTGGATCTAGATGAAGAGGATGACCTGGAGGAGTTCCGGCTGCCCATGAGCCACCGCCCCACCGAGAACCTCGACACGGAGGGGCTCGAGCAGGCCTCCGTCCACACCCAGCTCACCGCGTCCAACGTCGGCTTCAGGCTGCTGCAGAAGATGGGTTGGAAGACCGGCAAGGGGCTCGGCAAGAACGAGCAAGGTATCTTCCGTTTGCTGCTATATATGCTCTTTTTTTTTTCCATGATTGCTTGTCGGTTCCTATAGCAATTGAGAATCCACGACTAGGAGCTTGTATTATACTTTTCACAGCTGTTGATCCGTTATTGTTTTGGACTAAATCTAATGGCATCCTCATGTTCATGCAAATCATATACCTGCCATGCTTGATACAGTCAGTCGGTTTGCTTATCTGTCTAACATAACACCACTAGTCATGAACTTCTTGGCCCTCAATGATCTTGTCAGCTCAACTGTCTCCAAGTTTGATTGATACTAATGCTCTATCAATAGCTATTCATGCTCCCTTTTCCAAAGTTTCTTTACTAGGGAAAGAATGGATGCCTGTTGTTGTCTATCTTGTTTTAGCAATAACCTTATTAAGCCTTACATTTGCCTTATAATTCGTGGCACAGTAATATTTTCATCTGAACATTTTACACATTTTTGAAATTGTTGTTTCCTTGTACTACAACAAAGGCCCTCTGGAAAGACATACTACCTGCGTCCCTGAATAAATCCATTACTAGAGTTTTCTTAAGTTAAACTTTTTATTGTTTGACCGAATTTTGAGGAAGGAGCAACAATATTTATGACACCATGTGAACATATTATGAAAATATATTTCATTGTGTATCTAATGATACTAATTTGGTGTCATAGATATTGGTGCTCTTTCCTATAAATTCGGTAAAACTTAAAATATGTACAACTCTAGGAATTGATTTATTTAGGGACGGAGGCATTAAGTGCTAATATACCTTTTGCTTTAGCAATGTTCCGCTTCACTTTGCCTAAACTTAACAGGTTTAGGTGCATAGAAATTCCATTTGAGATCTGTCACTTTCTACACCTGGAGCAGAGTTGATCACCAAATATTCACCTCTTATTGTTCAGCTAACTAAATGCGATGATGCTTCTACACCTGTTGAGGATACCCTTCTTTGTTGTTATGCAGGTATACTAGAGCCAATAAGAGCTGACATCAGAGATGCAAAATTAGGTGTTGGGAAGCAAGAGGAAGATGACTTCTTCACATCTGAAGAGAACGTGCAACGAAAGAAACTGAATATTGAACTTGAGGAGACTGAGGAACATATAAAGAAACGTGAGGTATGCAATCTAACACCTGATGCTAGTTTCTGTACATTCTTCAAGGTTTTTTTTTTTTTTTTTTTGTTTTCCCTGGGTGGATGCTTGTTATGCTGGAAACCTAGATCTAGTTGTAAGACCTCTATAGCCTGTAAGTAGCTGAATTTCGTGATGCGAGAATGGCTAGCACCAACCATTAAAGAGTCTTGAGCATCTCGTACGCTTTTTATTTGGTGGTTTCTTTTCCCTGCTTGGTGCAAATCATGACAATCCAGGTCATAGCAGAGCGTGAGCACAAAATCCGCAGTGAAGTCAAGGAGATACAGAAGGTGTTCTTTTGCAACCTCTGCAATAAGCAGTACAAGCTGGCTCATGAATTTGAGAGTCACTTGAGCTCATATGACCACAATCATAGGAAGGTAATCCGTTTTGTGCACTCTTCTGACTCTCTTAATGCATTTTATTTATATTTTTAATAATATGTTCATCTGCACCGTTCTGAATACCTTTGTTGCACAGAGGTTCAAAGAAATGAGAGAAATGCATAGCAGCAGCGGTAGCCGTGATGACAGGCAGAAACGTGAACAACATCGAGAAGAGAAGGAGCAGGCAAAAATTGCTCAACTGTATCCATTCATAAATAATTCAAGGATTGCACCAGACTATTCTATGTTATTCTTAAGATATTCATTAGGAATTTTAGGTTGTATGTGGAGCTTGCGATTTCCTTAACGAAGCTTCAGTGCGGATGCTCATAGGAAGCAGCAGCAGCAGGAGAAACAAGAAAAGTCAGAGACAGAAGGTGCTGCACCAAAAAACATGGCAGCCCCTAGAAACCAGGATCAGCGAGGAACCTTGAAGTTTGGATTCTCCAAAATGGCTCCTTCCAAGGTGGATATCTTGAGGATACCATTCAATTTGTTTGCATTTCAGGACTTTCCTCCAAATATTAGCACTAATATATGGTCCCATGACCCATAAATTGTTGAGATGTTGAGTGGCAATTGGCAAATCTTGCAGTGCTGTTGAATTTTGTGGCCACTTCTGCAAAATCTTGTTGAATTGGACTCCATAAAAATTGGATTTTGCTTTCCTAGAGCCTCAAATATTTAGTGTTATTGCAGGTTTGACCTGTAATATTGTTTGTTCAAAATATAGACAACAGGAGTATAAATCTACACATTATATGCCTCTACTGTCTTGATTTTTTCTTCGCTGAATTGCAACTCTAAATAAGTGGTCATTTTCTGAATTTATTGAACGTTTCATTTTTACAGCAACGCCAATGCCTATATTGTTAAGTTGACCACATTTTCATTGCAAGTACAGGTTCTAGTTGGCAGTGCCAGCAAGAAGCCAAAGGTGGCTACAAAAGTTTCTTCGGTCTTCGGTAATGAGAGTGATGAGGACTCGTGATCTTTGCCAGAGGGTGGTAGTGCTTACATGGAAAACAACATCAAAGGACCATGAGAACGTGAGGTGTCATGTATGTATCACCTTCTGTTGTGCCACTGGCTTGGCCCCCGCTACGAATCCTGGCATCATCTCAACAGCCTCATATGAACAAACTGGGACTTGAAAACAGCACCACGAGTTGTATGAACTTTTGAGGGTACATTGTACAAGGAAATCTGTATTGTTCTTGCTGGATTTTGAAAGCTACTTATAACCATTTGTCCTTGTAGGCAGACAATGCCCTTCAATTTGGGACACACCTTTGTAGTCTGTACTATCATTGTTGGCTTTCAATGTAACACCTTTGTATTAGATGCTACTATTGAGTCACATTTTGTGTGTTGGGGACCTTTTGTTGGTTGGCCTCTTTTGTGGATACGGGGGCACAACTTCAGTTTTAGTTCCTTTTGAACAAATTCATGTTATTATGCTTCGGTTTGAGTTGAGTTGCATAAACTTGCACTTTCAATAAAACTGCCATGAGTTAGCTGTTACAAAAATGACTTTTTTTTTCAAAAATAAAGTGGAAGACAATCAAAGTGCAAATGGATGGACCATGGAGCCCATGAGGGAGCAGTTGGCCGGCTGGATCTGTGGTCTTGTGGAGTTGTGGTCCATGAGAAGCGATGCTTTTACAGGTAACCATGCTTCAGAGAAGAGAGTTACTCGCATACATGTGGATGGCCTGCATCATGCACCTTTACTCCTCACACCTCGACAACAAGTTATTGCACAGCACAGATCTGTGGCATGGCCATTTGCATGCAGCAGCAAGTCAGTGCGTGCATTGCAAGCATGTCAGAACTGTTAGACTACCATATTATGGGCTGTAGTTTGGGCCATTAGCATTGCTGTATGGGCTGTTATGCCCTGGGCTTGGACTGAGTGCGCCTGTAGTCGTCCCTTGGGGTTTTATGGTAGATGATCTTGGTTTAGGCAATGATCACCGTTGATTGGGTGTTTCTATAAACCCTTGACAATCCTTGCCTATATATTGTACTCATTTGGTACCTCCATAATCAATCCACTGAGTTTTTCCGAGCCATCTCTTCTTTCATAGTATCACGAGTCTGGGTATTCCTCCCGATTCTACCTCCGCTGCCCTAGCGCGCCTTTTCCCCTTGGCTGCGCTCCTCCCACCCATCTGCGCCGGCTTCCCTGTGCTGCGATGCCTGGGACTCCTCCCCCCTCTCCCAAATCGGCCGCCGTCGCCGCCGCCTCCAAGGCTGTCGTCCCCACGGTATCCAGCTTGGACTCCGATGCCCAGGCCAAGGCTGCTACCGCCGCCAAAGCTGCTGTCGATGCGGATGCCGCTGCGTGCCTGCGCGCAGCCAATCGGAAGGCTAGAGCGCGATGCCGCCCTCGCGCGCGCCGCCGCTGCTGAGAAGGAAGCCCAGGCCGCCGCTTTGGAGCGCGACGCCGCCACCGCCCACGCTCGCGACGCCCTGGCACGCGCTGAGCAGGAACGCGCCGCCGCTGGCGCTCCTGCGGACGGGGACGATGAGGACGCCATCTCTGATCACGCCTCCGACCACAACAACAACACCGATCTGCATCAAGCCCTCCTCCTGCAAGAGGCTGTTGCAATCGCCAACCTCCACTCCCAGGCAGTTGTGGTCCAGAACATCCGCAATCTTGTCACGGTTGTTCTCGACCTCAACGCCGGCAATTTCAATCGGTGGCGCGATCAGTTCCTCCTCATCGTTGGGAAGTATTCCCTTCAACACTATGTCCTGCACGACTTACCGACTTACCGGTGCCTGGTTTCCCTGACTGGCAGCGCATGGATTGTGTTGTCAAGTCATGGATCCTCTGCACCATCTCCGACGATCTCGCCGTGATGATCTCAGCGCGCAACTCCACTGCCTGCGACACTTGGTGCACCATGGAGTACCAGTTCTTCAACAACCACGAGACACGCACCCTCCTCCTCGACGCCAAGCTCCGCAACTTCGTTCAAGGTGATCTGTCCATCACCGATTACTGCAAGGAGCTCAAGCGCATGGCGAACACGCTTGGTGACTTAGGTGAAGTCGTCACCGACCGCACCCTCGTCCTCAACCTCATTTGCGGTCTGAATGAGCGCTTCAAGACCGTCGGCATGCATCTCCGACGAGGGCGCCCCTTCCCCACGTTCCTGGACGCGAAGGCTGACCTCCTCCTAGAGGAGCTGACGATGGAGAACACGTCGTCGTCTCAATCGACAGCGCTCGCCGCTTCCACCACTACGTCAGCCCCGTTGCGTCCTCCTGTTGTTCAGCAGCCTGCAGCCTCCAGCGCAGGCTCCGGGGGTGGCTCTGCTCCCTCCAAGAACCGCCATGGAAAACACGCCGGCCGGCGCGACGACGCTGGTGGCAACCCGGCGCCCACTGGTACACAGCCAGGTGCCCAGTCCAGCGCGCCCTCTGGTGGATAGTTTAAGCCAGGCAGCTCTGGCTCCGGGGGCACACCATGGCCCTCCTTCTACTGCCCGTGGGACAGGGCCATCCAAATGTGCCCTGGACCATAGCCTGGGCAGCGGCCTCCACTTGCGCCAGTGCCTGGCAACCCTCAGCACGCTCTGCTGGCCCAGCAGACTCTTCAACAACATGCTGTACCTACCCCGGTCATGGAGAACATCGGGTCTTGGACTGCACCACCCCCCGGCTACTACCAACCGCTCGCCGGGCTTCCTACATGGGATCAGCCATCTCTGGCCTCGACATTCAGCACCATGACGCAGCAGCAGCCACAAAACAACAATGACTGGTACTTCGATTTAGGTGCAACCTCTCACATGTCCTCACATTCTGATTCGCTTTCACATACTACTTCTTCGCGGTATCCTACTCCATCGTTCATTGTTGTCGGTAATGGATCCTTACTCCCTGTTACATCCACTGGCTCTACAGTTATTTCACCATCTTTACGTCTTAATAATGTGCTGGTTTCCCCACAACTTATTAAGAACCTAATTTTTGTTCGTCAGTTCACTATCGATAACAATTGTTCTGTTGAGTTTGACCCGACTGGGTGTTCTGTGAAGGATCTTCTGTCTCGGAACGTGATCGTCAGGTGCAATAGCTCCGGACCGTTGTACCCTCTCCGGCTGCCAGCTGCTCACTCCTTGGTCGCCGCCACTGAGTCTTCACTTTGGCATCGCCGCCTCGGTCATCCTAGACACGAGACCCTCTCCAAGCTTGCGTCGAGTCTTCCTACTTGTGGTCATGATACTACTACTGTTTGTCATGCGTGTCAATTAGGTCGTCATGTGCATCTTCCATTTCATTTGTCAACTTCTCGAGCGTCCAATAAATTTGATCTGATACATTGTGATCTGTAGACATCACATGTTCTTAGTGTCTCGGGCTATAAATATTACTTGGCTATTCTTGATGATTGTTCACATTATTTATGGACGTTTCCTCTGAAGTTGAAATCTGACGCTTTTCCGACAATCGCTCACTTTTTTGCCCTTGTGTCCACTCAGTTCGGCACCACCATCAAGGCAGTTTAGTGTGACAACGGTCGTGAGTTTGACAACTCCAGCTCCCGCACGTTCTTCCTTACCCATGGTGTTCGCCTCCGCATGTCGTGCCCATACACTTTCGCCCAGAACGGTAAGGCCGAGCGTATCATTCGTTCCATTAACAATTTGATTCGCTCCCTACTGTTCCAGGCTTCCCTACCACCCTCATTCTGGGTCGAAGCTATGCAGAGAGCCACATATCTCATTAACATCTTGCCCACCAAAACGCTGAGCTCGTCCACCCCGCACTTCGCCCTCTTCGGCACAGCACCCTCCTATGATCACCTACGCATTTTTTGCTGCACTTGTTATCCCAACTTGTCCGACACAACTCCCCACAAACTTTTCCCTTGATCCACCTTGTGTGTCTTCCTGGGATATTAAGCTCATCATAAAGGATATCGCTGCCTTGATCTCTCTTCCAATAGAGTTATCATCTCTTGTCACGTCGTCTTTGACGAGTCAGCATTCCCCTATGCTGAGCGTGCCTCCACTCCATCCCTGGCAGACTTTGATTTTTTGGACATTACTGACTATGTGCTGGCTCCCATCGGACCAGCACATAAGTTTCTCTCTGCAGGCACTGGTCCTTCGACACTCGCACAACCACGTGCTGCTGCGGCTGACACCGATGATGACCTGGCTGGTTCAGCAGCGCTTGATGCGCTCCCAGCCAGTCCACCAGTTGTGCCTGCACCCTCGCCCTCACAGCCACGTGCGGCCACGATGTCACCATCGCCTGCACGGCCATGTGCGGCACCGACTTCTTCGACCTCGCCGTCACCTATAGCTTTGGCCGAGCCGTGCGGACCTCCGCTGCCCGTCTTCCCGGTGCCTATAGTCCGTCACCTCTACACGCGTCGGGAGTGCCCAGCTGCTGCACCTGCGCCGCTGCCTAAGGGTGCTATTGATGTCCCCCCAGTGATCAACTAGCACCCCATGGCCACGCGCGCGAAGACCGGTTTCCAGATTCCTGCTCTCTATAATGCTATGCCACTGTCTCTAGTGCCCAAGACCTTCCGCAGCGCACTCGCCGATCCGAATTGGCGTGCTGCTATGGAGGAAGAACATGCTGCTCTTCTCCAAAACCACACATGGGATCTTGTTCCCCACCCCCCTCGGGCTAATGTGGTCACCGGGAAGTGGATTTTCAAGCACAAGTTCAACGCCGACGGGTCACTTGAGCAGTACAAGGCACGTTGGGTCCTTCACGGCTTCACTTAGTGGCCTAGCATGGATTTTTCAGAGACTTTCAGTCCAGTTGTGAAGCCTGCCACGGTTCGCACCGTGCTTTCTCTAGCCCTGTCTCACCAGTGGCCCGTGCACCAGCTCGATGTGAAGAATGCCTTCCTACATGGCACCTTGTCAGAGACAGTGTATTGTGTACAGTCGTCTGGTTTTGAGGATCCCACCCACCCGGACTTCGTGTGTCAGCTCAACAAGTCCTTGTATG